AGTAACAATGCGCTAAAGAACTAGGGAACTCTCTATTGTTCTGCGGCATAGCAAGTTCCCCATATACGAATGTCTTGGTTTTCATACTGATTATGTATTAACCTGTAGGTAACACATTTCTGAAATAAAATGTGGATAAACTCTATTTTGAAACAAAGTTTCTTTTCTTTTCATAAGCACTCAAAACAATATCCAAAAGATGCTTCTAATTTGCAATGTTCCCCACATAGAATTGCCTTAATATTGAAGCTAAAGGAAGCTTTCATGAAAGCGAAAACAGACATTAAATAAAATATTAGAAAATTTGCTATCTTGTGAAATTATAGCAGATTTTCATGTTTTAACCAATGGGATGGATGGATTCCTTCTCGCATTTCTTTGCCGTTTGCTTCCCTAGTTCTTACTCGGGGCATTACTTTAATATATAGTGACCTACAATCGCTGCCAAAATAAGTTGGAACGGCTATACGACACAACTTAAATATAGGTCCCTCTTCTTTTAAACCATTTACAAAATTCCCCTTAAAATAAATGCTGCTGTAGTCAGTAATGATGTATGATGACTAAGCWTTTGATGCATGCTCACTCGCATCAGGCAACAGTGATAGAGGGGGAGAAGGGTTAAGAAGTAAAGAATTGTTTGTGTCATTTGCGAAATAGTAAGATGATGTCTAAACGCTTTATCAATTTTGGCAACGATTGTAGTATTCTAACTATCCTTCTGAATTGTAGATTCAAGAAAGGCACTGCCTATTCTTCTGTTTGCCTATCGCTAGGAACGCTTCTTTGCATACTGACCCCCTGATTATATTGACACTCAGTCATCGTCATTACATCTCATTAGACTGAACACAAGAAATCCGGGGGGAAGTTACAAAAGCTATTCAAAACTGCACTTTTGCTCAAATGAAAATGTTTTTTAAGCATGCCTCATTTAAGATAAGGATGTCTACTTTTTCACAACATAAAAGGAGCTTAGGGATACTCATTCTTAGTGTAATTGATGACAATCTGTTGCAGGCATGTTGGTTAATCCAATATACAGGATTAAAGATGTATAATAGAAAAAACGTGTAAAAAAGCACACAGACAGACAAAACTACAATTCAATTCGGTGTCCATGGTTCACGGTTTTAATGAGTACAAACCGTTCAAGCTACCAAGCTTTTAAGTCGGTTTGTTGTGTAATAACTGCTCTCAGCTCTAATTAATATAAAAGACCTCTATGGGCATTTAAAATGAGCTATGAGCTGCAAGCGAGCAGTTTTATAGCCCATTAAGGTCTCCCGCTCATATTTTATATTGCTTATCAAATTCCAACATAAGCTAAAGCATATTTCGAGAAAAAACTTCAGGATAAAATATCATTTGTAAGAGAAAATCGAAGTTAAAGTCGTATACGAATCAGGACAAATCTCTTGCTCATATAAAGATGCGGTCACGGCAATGATTTTCCATTGTGTTTACCTTATGAATTATTAATGAATTTGATAATGGAAATTAGATGGAAAAATACAAAGACTCAACTTATCGCGCAACATTACTGCAGTCCAGGTTAGGCTTCAGTGCTTCTCGATTTTCGCGGTTTTGTTGCGCAACGAGTTTCCAGTTTCAAAGCAAGGAGCGAAACGAAAAACATCGCCTTTAAAAACGAAGATTTGCGGGAATAGTTTTAAGTGTTTTGTACCTCGTATTTCTGGGCTTCCTACTGCTGGTGATTACGTTTATTTCATTTTCAACCGGTTCGGTTACTTACCAGGAGTCTCGGGTGACCTCTGCAAGGGGTACTAAAGCTAATAACTCATGACTTAAGTTTTACTTGTATTTAAGCAACAAACGATAGCTTAAAGAGGTTTACTGGCTAAATAAATCGCGCGGGATAGTTGAGAGAACACGAGAAAAGATCTGTAAATCTGTAAGAATTTACCTTTTTTGAGTGTTCTCCCAACCATCCCAAGTGGTTTATTTCTTCAGTAAACCGCTTCAAGCTATGGTTTATTGCTTTTATATTATAGCCGGTGTCAGCCATTTAGACTCAAAAGTCTTTCAAGACAGCAGGCTGAGGTGAGCTATAATATGAACTGGCAATAAACGTAATAGATCATGATATGTAAATGTACATATATATATAGCATTGAAATCATCGAAACGGTACAGTGAACTAAAGCAACGTAAGTTATAATCTGTAATCCATTGAAGACATCTCTGCTGAATAAAAAAATATATGTACTGATGATAAGTATAACAAGAATTTCAGATAAAACACTTAGCGTAAAATTTAAAAATGAACTTCCCTTTTATAAACTATTTTTTTTTTTTTTAATTTAAGAAAATATTTATTTGTTTGTATATATTTATGATTTTCTTAAAAGTTTTATATCAATTCTCTTCTTATAATTTTTAATTTGTATATCAAAATGATTTTAATCTTTTGTAAACTAATTAATAAAACGAATTTTTCTTCATATCAAAACTCCTCACTGTTAAGCGACTCTCAACACACATGACACTCGTCAATTAATTGATGACAGCAAAAAAGTGAGAAAAAGGCGAAAATATTTTAATTCACAGGTTTTTGGTCAACCTTAAAGACATAATTCAGGCTTGGTTTAAATAAGGCAAGAAAGACTATCACTTTAATAAACGCAGCACAATGATGTAAACAAGAGCGAAATTCAACACCCAAGCCAAGGTGCAACCCATGAATATATATCAATTGTATTTTTTTTCCTTGTTAACATTAGGTCTTTTTGTTTATTATTATTTCTATATTTTTAGCGTCAGTTTTCTTGTTTTTTGATGCTACAAACGTGTATACTACCAAACGTTTTGGAATGTCGTCTTGWGAAAGATAATCAATAGTCCCGCTAATTGTTCATGTCAAACAAAGGTCAAGCTGTGGTTATTTTTATACGTGAGGGCTTTCCCTAATCACATGGTCCACTTTCAGTATTGGTAATAGCTTTTTTTACTAACAAACAAGAAGTGCTTTTGATAACACGATTCTGGTAACAACTTATTTGGTTAAGTTTTTTTTTTCAAATTGCATTGTTGAAATGATTCTTTCATCAAGTTTTCACCACAATCTTATGAGTTAGGGCAAGTTTAGCRTGTAAGTTTGGGTGCGGCGAGGTGATTAGGCTCATTAAACTGGGGTATGACTTATTAATACAATACATCACAAACAATGATTTTGATGTGACTTGCCACTATTATGCCATTTTTGATAATTTTGAAGAATGAGSTTTTTCTTAATTCCYGATGAACTGATGAASAATTATGAGGAATAAGAATGAAAATCGCTCAGAATTGAAAGTTTATAAGTAAATTATTCAAGCTAAGATTTACTGTAGTGCGTGTGAATAAAGTACTGCATTATGAAATTGTTGCCACAGAGAAATTTGCGTTTAAAAAGAATGAGAAGATGAGAACAATGGTGCTGATTGACTGTTGGCGTGCCTTTCTCAGGATTTATCAATGCTCTGTGTTGCTTTGTAGTCCTAAAACTCCTGGAAGTGAAACCCAAAGACATTTCCAGTCATTAAATATTTTAGTTTCATTTATTTTCATGTTAGCCCATGCTAGTAGTACAAAGTCTGTACTTTTTAGCGTTCATTGAGTGAATTTTATCAAAATCGCCTCACTATCACTCAAAGTTTCACAAAATTACAGTGAAGTCGGTCTTCAACTGTACTTCTGCAACTACTCCAAAGCGATAAGTAGAGGCATTAAGAAAAGCGTTCCAGGATGATAAGCTAAGGTCAAAAATGCATGCTTTTTCAGATCTGCTTTTTGCCTTCGAAACATCTGAGATATCAGTCAGTGAGTTTTACCTTTCCTGAATCAATAACTCTTTTATTGTTATGTAGTCTCCTTCGCAGCCTCCCCTTTTGTCGGGCTTAGCTAAAAAATCTTACCTTAGTTTTATTACTATTATTATTATTACTGCCATTTTTTATCATTTATCAGTTTTTATTTTGTAAATAGCTGTAGTCTCTGTCTAACAATAATTTATATAGCAATAGATCAGGCGCTAGGCTACTGAAGGACAAAGACTGTAGACTGAATGCTCTTCGTGAATTTAAGACTCCCTTTGCAATGCCTGTGGTGGCCTAGGTTTAATACGGACATGATTAACTACCAGCAGGATGCCCCGGTAGCATTTCCAGCCGTGATCGAATAAAAAGTCTGCACAACGCCAGAGGATTTATGATTATTTATGATTCTGGCAATGTTGCTGAAATAATTTCCAGTACTGCACCGCCGTGTGCTGAAGCATGCTGTTATCTCGTTTCAGAAGTGGTTTTTGACTGACTCAAGAGGATGCTCTACTCAAGACGAATCATGATTATTTTTCACCCTTTTCCACCAAAATAACGGAATGACTAAACGCCAAAGCACGACATACGCACTACACGTGATTCAACGACCTTTGCTCTTTGCGTAAAACACTGTGACTTGTCGAAACAAGTTTTGTTCTGATTGTGAAGGTGACGAGAAGAATTTCCGGACAGACCTGGAAATTTTTATCGAAAAATATAAATAAAGTTTCAGATCACGAGGTAAATTTCCTCTTCTGGTCTGGTGTTTTCAATTAGCTAATGCCCAGCGTGATTGACGTCAAATGCGAATCGTACATTTGACCCTGAAGTAATAAAAACAAACGAATGAATGGAGCTTCATCTTTTTATTGCTGATTGACTACTCTATCAGGTTATCAAGAAAAATCACTAGTAAATTAAATCGTTCTCTAGAAAGCTATAAATATTTCTAGCGTCCTAAGTCAGTCTTCAATGGATTGCCCGAAGTATTCCATACAAAAACCTGGGCTTCCGGTGTGTAAGGCTTAGATATCAAGCAATGACCTCTGGAGGTTGGCTATAGTAAAACAAACTGCATGGCAGTTATTTATAGAGAAATCACTAACTTGTGATTCATACAGTATATCTCTAGTRTTTCAAAATATAATATTCATGCATACAGGCCATTGATGAATGTCTTCTCTGATAGTTACAAATATACTCGTCGATTGCTATTGACATAAAAATACATATGCTACATCTTAAACAAATATTTGAAAAATATATATTTATATAATACTTTGTGATAATAGAAGATAAATGAATTCTTACATTACGAAAGTAGAGTTTTTACGAACTCGATAATGAGTTTTCCTATGTTTAGCGAGGTGATCTGATCGAGAGAACCTCTTGTCGCAGATATCACAAATAAAAGGTTTGATTCCACTGTGAGAGCGCTTATGTCGCGCAAGTTCATCAGATCTCGAGAATCGCCAGTGACAACCTTTCCATGTACACACGAAGGGTTTCTCTCCAGTGTGTCTCCTTATATGAGCCTTGAGGTGAGAGCTCTTGGTATACACCTTGCTGCAACCTGTGTAGTGACACTTGTACTCGCGGGTCGACTGACGCCGACGACCTTTTTCCCCCCGGTTGCTACCTGCTTGCTTGCTACTACCTTCAGTGCTGGACGGAGAACTAGAACTTCCCACAACTGCCAGGTGAATTCCACAGCCAAAGAGAGAATCGTTTGTATCAGTACTTGAATCACTGCGCACTGAATATGAATCACTGGAGTCTTCATGGTCCAGGAGCCCTGATGCAGATAATACCAGGTTATCTTTACTGGACGGCTTTTCCATATTAGTGCTGTAGTATGAGTTGAAGGCTGAGGAAATAAGGTAATCTCTCAGCTCTATTGTCTCATCTTGTTCACCGCTGAGTATAGGGCTCTCGTTTATCGTATCCACAAGCCCTTTAGAGAACAAGTATTCAGCGTAAACATCGGCTGGGCAAGATGGGCCCATCAGGTCGTAGTTGAATTGATCATCGTCAAAGACAGTGGGTGACTCAGCCAAGGTAAAACTACCATCACAGTCAATCATATCTTGAAATAGAACCTCGGGTACATCCATATCCATAGTTGTATGCAATATGTGTCCTCTTTGGTTTCCYGACTTTACAATGATCTCGACTAAAGCACTCTGCTGCTCAAGTATTCCTATCGACTCTTATGTATTCACAACAAACAGATTTTCAATTCACACCTTATGTTGTTCCTGTTGAGCCAAATGGCTGGTGATTGGCTTGGTACCGGTTGATAATGATCTCTGGTTTCTCTCTCAAGCAAGCGTGAATGAAGATACACAGACTACTACACTCTTCGCAGCAGGAATCTGATCAGGTAAACAATTTAAGCAACGGCTTCAAATGACAAACAAACTAAATCAACGTTGTATTGGAATCGATGCAAAACTTGATCGAATATAGCTTGCAAGGATTGACCTCTGCACTTAGAAGTGAATTCGCCTCGACTTGTTTTACTTCCAAAAGTTATTAGAGCCAACAACGCGGATATTACTCACTGGCATTTAAAGCGTCTTGGACAATGCGACTCGCCATCCACCATGCTTTGYATCAATACTGATAACTATTGAAATCCAGAAGTGCCAAATTTAGTATAATAGCAGAGCTGAGTTTAGACAAGTCAGGGATGCCTGTTTAATACAATGCGTACAGCTCAGTTGGTTATCTGTCGCAAGCCAATTGTAAAGAGAACAGACATATCTTTTGAACCCACTGAAAGGGAGAACAAAATAGTGCCTTTTATGGGTAGTTTTAGCTCAGCTTTTAGGCGTGTCGTACTTGATGGAAGAATACTGATCCCTGCTGAGAGGAAGTTGATTGTAAAAACAATCACAAGCTATTTCACACACCGCCGGAAAAACTCTTTAATCGCATTTTACCCTCAAAGAAAACGAAATAATTTTTTCTCAGGGATCTTTTTATCTCGGCTTCAGAATATTTATTCTCTAGCATGAAACGTTTTTGTATTACACTCGAGTAAATATGCATTGTTATCCCATTCGATGCGTTTAGACTCGACCCACAAAATCCACTGTATTTTTTCATGTTCCAGCTCCATCAACAAAGTGTCTGCCAATGTAAATCCTTTTTTCGTATTTATTGTTGTGTTGAGTATTTTTTGTTATGTTGAAACCGGAAAAATGAATTATTCAAACATGTCCAAAATGAAAATAGCATTTCAGCATTAGCCAACCAGGACAGGCATCAATTTTCCTACTTGTGATCAGGGTAAAGAATTGTGCTACGACAATCTCAGATAATAAGCCTAACATCAGTGTTGTGAAGCGAACCATCCACAAGTTTTACCTCCAATACTGAAAGATCCTGTGACCTGTAACACAACGCTGACTCAGATCACCTGACAACGGAAAAGGTTTCATTACTTTCTGATARCCCTTCACACTCAGTCCTCTGCAGTTGAGGCATTTAGTCTGCGGTTGCGAGGAGAACTGACTGGAGACGTCGTTCACTTGTTTGCGGCTTTGCAGTTCAAGTTTTACTCTGAGTAAAAACCTTTCGCATTTCATTTTGCATTTTCTAAAAAAAGATTTCTTCAAAACCCTGAAATTTTAGAACTGATTTTCGATATAAGAACTAATTAATTATCTAAATTTGTGTCCGAACACCCAAACGGATGATTGAAAAAAGTAAAAACAACGTCACGAATGGACCATTGTAAGTTGTCAATTGTAAGCTGAACGACCTCTCACTCTCAGTCAGGGGAATCCTTCACTAATTTTTAAAAATCATATCTGTCTTGTTTGTTTGCCAAGTTTTTATAATCAGTTTGTGTAAAAGCAGTACAATGAACATGAATTAAATTCCTTTTGGTATTTTTGTAACTAAGATTTTATTTGACAATGTTCTTTGTGATTTGTTCTCGTGTTTGTGTTTTCCTTGTTTCAATGCAAACAAACTCGAATCTTTTCTAACTAAAAAAACTATTTGGTTACAAAACAGCGTTATTATTGTCGTCGTCCTTATCTTTGGTTTATTTGTTATACAAAGTTTTATCAGGGATGCGACAGGAAAAAAAATCGTCTTGAAAATAATCCTTTGTCCTTTTTTAGCGGTTAGCTCTTTCGAGTTTAGAGCTACAACGCTTCCCCTTGAAATGAAATCACATTTGTCAGTCGCAAATAGTTTTTATTTAGAGAAAAAATTAACAACAAAACCATTTCAAGAGTCGTTTTCATTTGGCTGTGAAAGATTAGTGAAGCTAACAGAGTTAGTATTTATAAACTCTGAATCCATTGTTTTCTCTTGTTAGCATATACTACCTAAATAATCATTAACATTAATTGAAAGGCCAAAACCAAATGTAGCTAATGTAGTGCAAAGGAAAATAGCTGTTAGATTTTCAGTACTGCGCTCATTGTCATATGTTGATCATGTCATGGGCTATGTTAGCGGCCCAAAGGCGAGTGGACAGCGTGTCGAGCAGTGAATGAGTCATCGGTTTAGGTAAGTCTAGTAAATTTTCGATTAAAGGTTGGAAATTTGAACATCCTCTGCAAGCAAATTAAACATCAAACATTCCAAGCAGGACAAGGGTATRGTTGTCTTTTAAATACACTGTTTACCCCTGTAAATTGTAAAAGTCTAGATAAATAGCTTCGCTTTACTGTAGTAATAGAGCTATTCATCTGATTTTCTTTCTTCCGGATTATTTGTATTTTGTATATGTAATTTCAATTTTAAAAAGCATGTCAAAATGATTTTTATGAAGGTTCTCAGCCCGCAGGTCGTATTCTTAATAATTGCAGGGGGGGTGATATAATGAAATTAACACTTTCTGACCAACCTAACACATTCGTAAGGGAGTCCCCACAGCCTCGCTCCCAGCTTCCTATTTTATGGGTCGAGTATAAGAGCTTTCAACTGTTGAAAACCAACTGACCCTTTTCAGCTTGTCACGTTGTTCTCGGTTRTTTGAGTGGGGTATATATTGTGTGACGTTAGTTTGTTATATCTAGAAAGTCACGCTTTTTCGCATTGAAGAAGATTCTGGCCATTCCGACATGCCATTTTTGATTGAAGTGTGTGACAAATACTTCTGAGTAAAATCAATTCCATCAGCAGGGCAAAGTTAATCAACTTTCGACCTTTTGYTTATAGAACTATTACATCAGTTTCTTCTTTGAGTGATTGGTTCACAAGCTTTTCCTCAGGGAGGGTGGGTCATGTAACTTCTTTTCACCGTTTCCTTATGAACGGCTTGTTTGGGTTATTAGCGATGAGTCGTTAAGTGGTGTCTAAGGACACTTGTCAACAGTGCTTCACTGACTGGATGCGTGTCTAAACAAGATAGTCGGCAATCTTTGAACCTTTTGTTCTCCATCCTTGCAGCCAATCTACCTTAAAAGGCAAGCAAACTCGGCAACAGCGTGGCAGGAATGTAAAATGTGCCATAGGAATTTTATGATTTCTATCCGTTGTTTGGTAAAATGTATTTCCTCGTTTTCCTGCTCTAGGTACATCCCTTATTTACTTACTGTGAGAGCTGCTTTGGTCAGATGTATTTTGAGTATTTTATTAATTAGATAAGTTATTTATTAACAAAAACATGCAAKAGGTGATCATAAAAAAAATCATAAAAATAAGATCAGAACACTTTAGGAAAAAATGAAATTAAACATTTAAATTGGATTTAAAAAAATAGTATTACGTAACAAGATAAGTTGTTAGTACAAAATCCTTCATGTATTGAAAGAACCACAGGGCGCCCAGACTCAACATGTGTGGTTCACGTTGGTGTCAATTTTATTGCGTGGTTCGCGGTTCGAGCCCTCATGAAGCCGTAATTTTTTTTAGTCGGACTAGCCGAAGGCTAGGTCGACTTAAGTTTTACCTTTTAGTCTATCTATGTATTGTCGCGTTTTGGGTTGCCTGTGTTATCACGCGACCGGAAGCTCAAACGTATAGATGTACGAATATCGTAAATGTTAGATTCTACTTGCGCTTTTATGTGATTAAACTAGCGATTTTTATCAAAAGTAAATGCTGCGATGATTGAGAAAGACAATCGTGTATGAAAAGTTTTTATCACTGGTTTGTACATCTTTATTAAGAAGAGCGCTGTGGCTTGTGCAGAGTCCTCAGCGAAGATGAAAGCCTGATTTTAATAGTTTTTATTGATATTAAAGAAATAAAAACAACATTTTCTTTCCTAAAAATACATAGTATAAATTTGTTTATTTGATATTATGATAATATAAACTTGATAGTTTGCTTTTAGTTAGTCATTTGTTTATCTGATGTTATGCTAATATAGCCGTACTTCTAAGACTTGATTCTATAAATCAAAATTGATACATCTTATCAATGATAATTTGCTTTAACTTAAACTTGGGATCCTAAACTTGTATATCTTCTGATATTATGATAATATAAAACTCGATCAGGCACATACACGTAGCTAGCTCAAAGAGTATAAATCGTCTCTTCATCGGGTAGGTCGAGTGGTCTTCAAAAGACATCTCCTTAGAATTTGTTCGATAATCTGAGAATTCCATGTCGAAATATCGAAAACATGTTAGCATGTGTTAGCCCACAACAATGCTGAAAGACTTATAAAAACACACTGTCTTCCTCTAGAAATATCGCTAAAGCGATTATTACTGTGATGAATATAACCTCCTCTTCAAACATTTCATCGTAAAGAGAGGGAAGCTCGCTCTGACAGCTGATCAAGAGATTTGCTGGCTCAGAAATACGGACATCGCCTCAAACTCCAAAATATCGACTTTGAAATGAATATTATCGTGCGACACAGGGATCCCATTTTTGTTTGAAATAGTGTGCTGCTCGATCGCGCATTCGTTTACAAATGTGGTATTTGTGATCTCATCGGAATGCATCGGAAGGCATCAGAAGGCATCAGAAGTACGAGTAGTATGCTTACGAAACTGAATTCTAGCGCTAGACAGTCTTGTTTGGGAATATATTTCAAATTAGAACAAGAAGAAACTTTGTTTATCAATAACAAAAAGGCGACTTTTATTATTTTATAGGCATATTTTTTTTAATAAAAGATTTAAATGTTTTGGTCTGTAAGAGGTCAACAATTTGAATTAAAAACGCATTAGATCATATCAAACTTATTCCATACATCGGCGGACATTTGCTTAGATTAGTGTCCTGGTTCGCTCATGCATGCATGCATGTATATATGCATGAAAATTTATTTATCTACTTCATGAAATATAGTACAATGGAGTTAATTAATATTTTGTCGTTGTTCGACCTCATTAGATACTATAACAAAGTTACCTCTACATATAATATCACAGTTCACTGAAGTTTTAATATAATAGACTACAATTGTAGCTCTTCATGCTCTTTGTTTTCGTTGATTTCAACGCATTTTCAGTAATTGTAGCTCTGCGTTATAGGAATTTTTCAATATTGACTTAACACAAAACTCTCAACCATAGAGTTGTATACGGCACTGTGAAGTTTTGCCGACTACATTTTCAAAATATGATAAGAAAGCAATCGAAAACGAAACGAAAACGGATGCGAAGCAACTCCAACTCTTCAGAGGCGAAAATACATGATTAGATTTTCAAATTTTCTCACGAAAAATACACAGAAAGGTCGCATATATATTTTATTTCTTAAATCCGATGGTAGGTTTTTCATCAACAAAATAAGTTATGCGCGAGGCCCAGTTTTTTGGAGCGAACTGTGGTGAAAACATGCACCGCCATACTATTTTAATGCTCAACTTCAACTCTTCAAGGACGAAATTACATGATTGGATTTTAAGCATTTTCTCACGAAAAATACACAGAAAGGTTGCATATATATTTTATTTCTTAAATTCGATGGTAGGTTTTTAGGATTGTTTTTAAAATCATTGCATTTCTTCAAAAAGCCTTGAAATCTGGCCTTTATTTCGTCAAATTTGGCACTTCATACGGACTATTTGTCCCCCATAAGTTTGATATGTATTTCACTTAGCGACATTTAGTCGGACGTTTGTTTTTTATCAATTCAGTTTTAAGTTGTTCGCAGGATATTAATTACATGACCTTTTAGGTCAAATTTATTTTTCTATCGTTTTGAAGTCGTTGCAGAGAGCAGTCAAAAAGAATATTGTATCGTGTGAATGAACGGTTTTGAAAGTACATTAAAGTGAAAGAATGCACTCTTGCTTTCACTATGTATTAGAAGTAAAAACATACATTCTACACCATAATTTACATTCATAATATAATCATATGATTAGACAGAATATAACACTATAATCTTTTCACTCGTGTCTTTATCAATTTTCAAAAATAGTTAGTCCGACCTCACGCTCCAGGAGAGTCTAGTTCTACTTCATTTCTTGAGACTTTTCAAGACTTTCTCCTTTTTTTCTTTTTTCTTTAATGAGTATAAACATTTTTATGAATAAAGATTGATTTTAAAGTCATTTGTATATTTTCCCCCTCGTAAATAAACAACCCCGTTTGATAACACTTAAACCTGGGACAGTGAAACGGTATTTCTACTATTCCTACGGTGTTTTTTATAAAAATATTACCCTGTCCAAGACACACAAAAAAATTATATCGGTCTTTTATCTAAATTGCAGAGCCTGGTTAAGACAATTTCGGGTGAAATGTATACCCTGTTTAAGACAGCAAGGCCAAAAAACATACCCTGGCCAGCGGCACGTCCCCGTATAGCAATAAATGGGAGTACCCCCCCCCCCCCCCCGCCCGGGACTCTTGTTCTTTCCGCATTTTGTTGTTGTCACAAACTCGAGGTAAGTGACTCCTTTTTTATTACATCTAGTTTTGATATTACGGACTTTTCGGTTAAAGAAAGACCTTGGTCGTGGTTTTGATCCACGAACACATTCTGGGGTGACTGAAGTTTTTATGTACGAGAGGGGTCGTACAGCCCAAACGCTTCGGCTTCATGACCTCCACGTGGTTAGCCGCATTAGGCCTCAAATCGTTATTCTGGAAGTGGGGACAAACGGTTTAACCCTCTGATGCCAGCACTTTAGCATTATGGTTCGAATTCGAACCACGCTTTGAAAAATTGCAAGTTTCGTAAATCGTGAGATTCGAATTCAAACACTGCTCAAAAGAGAAAAACAACTAGCAGACTCAATTACAGAATAGGAAATCCAATCACCAATACACCTTTTCCATCGAAAAAGACAGCTGTGCTAATGTGTATACGCTAAACATGCGTTTTTTACTGGCCTGGACAGCAGTGGGGAGCTCCTATTTATAACTTAAATTGCAGTGCGAAAATGGCCTTCTCAAGCAGAAAATGGGTTTTGTGGAGAATCTCCATCCTCAGTCTCTTGAACAGTTGCACTTTTGCTTTGTTAAATTGTTTTCAGAGCGACCAAAAGCCCCCTTTTTGGGACTCACTATAGCAAACACAGTTTTCTCAGATGCACGACCGAACAGCATCATGGGATATGTTGATTCAAATCGACAGGGATGTCCAGCAATCCTGTTTTTATAGATATTTTATAAGTGCCAAGTCACTCGCACCTACCGGTAAAATATTGCACCGATTGCCTTGTTTGGATGTTAAAACTTGCCAAATTTACCTTGGTAGGGTCTGAAATCCGCTACAGAAAGACTTGGGATACGATATTTCTCTAACGACAACAATTCAAACTGACATTCGCATTGCCGCCATTGTCTTCGAAAAATCGCTCCCCACTCCAGATTTCTTCCAGAAGAGTGTCTAAACCGCCTAGTCTAGCTTAATGATGCAGGCCTAGGGGCTTCTGTAGCAGAAAATGACTCGAAAAAACACTTATAAACGCTTTTTTGGCGAATTTGAGACCGTGCGCTGGCTAATCTAGCAAGCAATCTCAAATTAGCCGTGCGTTACAGAAAGCCACGTTCCCTAGGGAATATGAATCCATGATAATTTGATTGACAGCACCTTTTATGGAGCTCGAATGTTTTTTTAATCTCTTTAATGTAAAAACGGCCCTAAATCGAGAAAACTGAGCTGGCATCAGAGGGTTAACCAAGATGCCKCCCGAGGTTGTTCTGGGTGATTGATTTGCGACCAGGCCTGCATATGAATTCGCCAAGGTTGTAAGCCAGTGAGCCCGTGCATTTTTGTTAAGCGGTCATATTTGAAAGTGTAAATAAAGGAAAGGGAAAACCCGCAGCTCTCCTTTCACTCAGATAAACAGTACAAGTCGTGTTAAATTTATTTACATAACTAAACAAAATGATTATAGAATTAAACCTTTAAGAATTGAATGCTCATATCAAACATTTTCCACCTTAAATACACACGTGTTTTTCAGAAGGGAATTTAGTCGAACTTTTTTCACGATGGAATTTTGTTTTGAGTCGTTTCAACATAAACAGTCGCTATCAAGACATTACGCGAA